TCTCCCTGCAGGGCTTGGGCGGGGCGGGTCCCATGGATCAATAGGGCGGGGTTAGCAATTATGGCTGCTCTCAGTCTTGCCCTCAGAGGCTCTGCTTCTCAGTGTCCCAGTAATTGCTGCAAGCCCCACAGAGAGAAAACTGCCCTAGGGTTCTGACCGATGCCAGACAGTCCTGGTTCTCTCGTATGAGTCTCGGTCCGTAGAGACTCGCCCGGAGCTGGAGCTCAGAGTCTGAGACTCCTCCCAATTGAAAACAACAACCACGCCCTCCGCCACCAGCGTCTTAGTATTTTACTTCAGCACTGTGCCTCCTCTGAGTCTCGGTATGTTTTACTCTTTCCTCCTAGTTGTAAATCTTCCACTCAGCCAGCCTTCCTGTGGTTCCGGATGATGTCCGTTCCGTCTTTTAGTTGTATTTTTGAAGTGGTTGTTCGAGGCAGCAAACTCTGGTGTTTACCTATGCCACCATCTTGGTTTCTCTCCCAAGTTTCTCTAGTTCTTAAAAGCCTGGGCTTACAAATGAGAATATTTTTTAGATTTTCAGATTCATGAAGGAAGATACCATAGCCTAATATACCATTAGCATCCACAATACTTAATATAGCACCTGTATTGTGTGAATAATGGATTGCTTGAATGTGTTAATAAATAAATGAGTAAGCAGTATTAAGAAACATTTTAGTGACAATCCTATTTTGCATACCAGAAATCATGTTCTGGTAAAATCTCCCCTGCTCCATGTATTTCTGATTAACCCCCAGATTATTTCTCACATCTTATCAAAGAATCCTCAGTGTTTCTGTTCTGCACAGGCTCCCACCTCTGTCACACTTGTTTGCAGCCCATGGAGAATTTGTGGTCTAAATCTTACCAGTGTTTGAGGCAATTGTTGCCAACTAGGTGGCATACACAGCTGTAAAACTAAAGTGGTGTTGATTAACCATATTCAACTACCTATTCTTTATAAGATATAAAATTGTTCTTCTGTTCCAAGTATCTCTCTTTCTACACACATGAGTAGCACTTGTTAGCTTTATGTAAAGAGCAATTTTTCCTTCTTAATATAGTTCCTTTTCTCCACAGAATGGGGAAATACATTTCCTGATCTGGGCTGACATCCAAATTCTGAGTCACACATCATGTTGTCTTCCACATGACCCTCTGGTGTCAACATTTCCTCTTTATTCAGTTAACATGCCTTATTCAAATCAACTCATTTAAATTGATTGATTTGCAGTGTAGTCTAATCAGCTCTATAAGCATATCCAGGTACTTGAATCCCACTCAGATCTTCTACACAGATAATAATTACTAAAATATAATGTTTTCTACTGCCACACAGATATTCCTAGACAATGTTATATAAAGAGGTATAATATAACAATATTAGAGCAAAATTACAATTACATATCAAGATTAAAATTATTCAGAGAGAAGCCTAATTAGTTGCATCTAGTTTATGAGTGTCTGCATAAACTCAATGAGGTGAGAGAGAAATGCAGGAGAGGGAGATTCAATGGGAGTCAGCACCCTGTATTTGAATTTGTGCTGGTTTATAAAGTAAAATCTCCATTGATACTTTGATTATGGCCAGATTATTCTCCAAACACACTGAATCCCTAAGAGAAATTGCCCTCTATTCACCTGCTCATCTAGGTGTTTTCCTAGTACTACTACTAATTTTTCTTTTGGCTTTTTCTTCACTATCATCATTTCTGACTTTTTACTCATTCTAAGCATTGCCACCCCTTAATTAGACATTTTATTTTTCTCTCATCAAGGTCTCACACATAAAATATTATCATAACTTCCCTTCTAGAGACCTCCCTGCCAAAACATACATGTGTGTATGCCGCAACCTTTTGCAGTGAGGATTCAGGATCTGAAGACCGGGCCACGCACAAATGAAAACACTAGACAAGAAACATGAATTTAAAAGGCATGGGAGGTCAGGTGGAAACCTCTCTCTAGAGAAGAAGTTCTCTGACTTCTGGCTGGTCTGCTTTTTATTTACTTGAATACACATTTGCGCTTAGCAATGCATACAGGCATATCAAAGGTAAAGTTTGGTAAACAGTAAAAGGATTATCAGGTTAGGGAATTGCCTTCAGCCATTGGGCCACAGCAGGACAATATCATGTTGATTTTCAGCCCTGCTGAATATTGGCCTTCCAATGGGTCTTTTTGTGTTAATATGTTAACTACTGTTGGTTTTAGCCTCTGGCATGTGTATAAATGCATGTGCACACATACAGGCACAGAGTTAATAAGACACATTATTAAAATCTGTTTCTTTCCTTTGGCATTACAGATACAGCCCAAATCCTTCAACAAGATATCTAAGGATATTCCTAATTTAAACCCAACTTATCTATCCAGTTTTATAGCCTCTCTCACTCCTACAAAACACTCAGATCTAACTCTAACCATTTTGTGTGTTTTTTTCTCCCTTGAACTATGAGACACTGATACCTCCAAGAGTTTTAACTTTTTCATTATTGAAAATTCACTGTCCAACACCTCAAAAGACCACACATGTTGCTAAATTATATTCACCATTTTAAACTCAGCATAGATATCACTTCCTCAAAATCTTTCTAGACATATCCATCCAGATTTTAGTTTGGCATCCTAAAACTCTATAAAAATTAAGTTTATATCATTAGAATCTGGAAAATGACCCATTTCTTATCTTTTATTCTTTTTATCCTCAATGGCTAATGGATAATTTAGGTCTCAATGACTTTGCTCATGTATTAGAGTTTATTTTTAATAATTTATTGTCTAAGCAAGTTCTAATCAGTATACCTTAAAGAAAGTATACTTGAAGTTGTCCATGAATGTATTATTTTTGTTTTTAAATATTGTTACTAAAAACAAGAAAGAAAAATTTAAAAATGTCTTTATTGATTTTTTTGGAGAGAGACAGGAGAAGGAAACAGAGATAGAAACATCGATTAGAGAGAAGCGTCATTGATTGGCTGCCTCCTGCATGCCCCCTACTGGGGATTGAGCTCACAAACCGGGCATATGCCCTGACCAAGAATTGAACCAGTGACCTCTTGGTCGACGCTCAACCCCTGAGCCACACTGGTTGGGTAAAATAAGTTTTTATTAAAAGCAGAAAAAGAGAGGTAAAAAGAATAAAGAGATACTGGGTCTCTAAAACATGCACAATTCAAATCTGATTCCAAATTGAGCTTAAAATGGGTTTTAAGATTGTTTTCTATAAGTATTGTTAATATTTAGCTCAAGGTTTATTCTTATGGTACTTTTAATGTAAACTAAAAATATAAGATTTGTAACAAACAAAACATTTCTACTCCATTTTTGCTAAACATAAAATATTGATTCACTATTCAAAATAAACATTTATGAATACATATTATAAATATTATAGTTTTTACATTATGTTTACCATTTTCTTGGATATGTCTCTTTACCCACTAATAGAATCCAATGCAGGAAATCAAGAAGATTGCTACATTTCTAGAGAAAAACCTAAATGATGAGATCTTAAATAAGATCATCCATCACACCTCATTTGGAATGATGAAGGACAACCCTCTGGTGAATTATACACATATACCAAGTTCAGTGATGGATCAGAGTAAATCCCCTTTTATGCGCAAAGGTGAATATTTTTCTAAGTTTAACTTTTGTTTTTATTTTGTTACGTATTACTCTGAAATTAGGATTAACTTTGTGATCTCTACCAAATTACTTAACCAATTTTGGTATCAATTTCCTCATCTATAAAATAAGGACACTAAAAATACTAACCACACAACATTGCTGAGTCAGATTAGAAATTATTAAAGGAAATAAAGCTTATAAACCTATTGTCAGAATACCTTGAGTATTTGATACATATTTCTCCTTGTATTTGCTACTCTGCTATATGCGAGTGGTCTTGTCAGTTCTAATATGAGTCATTCCAAATTTGTTATATCTAAATCCTCAATCTTTTCTAAATTGGCATAGACCTCCTTCTCAGTGAGAAACAAATGGCATTCCTTATAGTACCATGTTCTTTAAAGTCCCCATATTATTTAGGAAATTTTGTTAAAAAGTATTCACCAAGAGAAAATGCTTTTTTTTTTTTACACTATGGGAAGTTTTGCTACCTAAAACTTACTTCCATTGTGGCTTGTTGTATATGATTTGTGTTAAAATGTTTTATTAATGACAAAAATAATGCATTTAACAAATTATTAACTTAAACAAATTTGAGACATTATCCACTTAATAATATGATCTTCTGTTTTCAATATTCTTTACTGAATTGAAGGGAAAAGGTAGAATTTCAGTTGATGCACTGGGAAGTAAACATAATCTTGGGAAAGTATTGGGGATAGAAATGTGTAGAGAAAACCCTTAATTTTGAAAGAGTATATGGTTAAATTTTTTATAAAACATTTTCCTCCAGAATTTACTAAAATGGAAAATAGTTTCAGTGTTTTAAAATTGTGTTTGATTTTTAAAAACGCTACATTTAACCTTTCAAAAACGACTTCTGGTATAAGAAGGCAAAGCAAATTTTTCATTGTGAATAGTGCATTACAAATTTGACAAAGAAAACTAATAATACACATTCACACATTTTCTGATGGGAGACTAAGAAGAAAAACTTTATAAAACAAGACAAATATTTTATGCCAGGTCATTGACTAAAATTTCTGGAACAGTTTTATCCCCAAAAATATGAAAATTGATACCATTGCATGATTCTCATTAGAATATAGCAATAGAGGAAATAAGTTCAGTATCTGAATCATATGGTTTCTCCGACTTCAACCTAAAAGAGCCCATGCTGGCCTAATAAGAAAGACAGTTTTTATATGCCCTTCAGAAATGGTAAAGGACATGTCCGATATGGTCAGATTAACCTGAAATTTATCCAGACTTTGCCACTCCCCAAATTTATGACTTTGAACACATTAATTAATCTGCCAAAACTAAGATTACATCACTAAAAATATGGAGAAAGTACTAACATGTATGGCACAGGTTTTGGGGGAAGATTAAGGTAAATGATACATAAGCATTTGGAATATTTTTCTGATCATAAATAATACATTAAAAAGTAGCAAGCCTTATTACTTTAAACAATTCAAGATACCCCTATCCATTTATTTATTCATGCATTCAATAAACATTTAAAGAATACACACTCATTCATTAAGTTATATGTAGGAAAAACTTCATAAATATCTATAGTTAGCACATATCTTGTAGAATATGCAAGGTTGAATGGCACATGCATCTGCTTCAGGACGCTCATAATGGGCTCAAAGGGCCTTTCAAGTCTTGAAGAATTCTATGTCGAATAAACCAATGTTATAATTTAGCCACACAGTAGTAAAGGTAGTAGGGACAGGAAAATGATGTCCAATATTTATACCCGTGTCCCAAATTGCAATAAAGCAGAAAAATCTGGGCTTTGGCCAACATTTATTGTATCTGAAAAAATTTTTACACTTTCCTTACTCTTATAATGCAAATATATTTATATGTGCTAATTTATATTCAAAACAGAAGATCGTCAGAGTACTTTATATGAGTCTTTACTGTTTAAACCTGTGCTCTCTGTTTTTTAATATCTTCACATATGTACTATCTTGAATATTCACTACCCTCATATACACCCCTAAGAGCTCTTGCCATCACATACACATAGAACAAAGAATAATAACTAGGGAAACAACTTAAGGGGATGTTTTTCATTAAAGGGGCTTGAAATCTTCACCAAACCATCACAAGTTAATATAGATACAATGCAACAGGACATACTTAATATTTCATAATATAGCAAAGTAAATGTTTCCTCCAAGCACATTAACAGTAATAAAT